TTAAACAAAGAAATGATACTCTAGGGAATGACGCGTGGCCTAAAATGGGGAAACATTACGCCCAATTTGCAATAAAATTTTGAAGTGAAACTAGTTGATCATCAGCCGATGTCTTAACCTAAATAAAACTACATATTCAAATATTTAAGAATTAGGTTATAAATCATTACTATAATTATATTTTTGGTATATTACATAATTAGTCTTATCTGCGATGCTAGCATTTAAACTTTGTACATTGATAATATATTCTACCAAAATGATATGAAGCCCAATAAATTGATAGATTAAAGTTGGAGAATATCATGATTTGGATATTGTTTTTAACTTTTACTTGCGAATAATAGGCCAATTGCAACAGTCACGTGCAGATATATGACTTTGATAACGAATCAATAATCCTGAAGCGAGATGACGTTTTACCCCCGTCTCTAGACCATAATCCTTTTCACACTGCTTTTGTTCTTTAATTATGACTATTGTTCCCGTATTCTCTAAGGAATCAAAAATTTTAATATGAAAGATTTTTAAAAACTATTATGGTATTGCTTACTATCAATCACGTGACTTTTTGGAGTTGACTGGGGGGCAAACAAGCGGTTGACTGGGGAGCAACTAGCTAAGTCAAAACATCAAAATATTGTATTTGACTATTTTCACGACATCAAACCAGAAAACAAGAGATCAAAACAACCTCCAGGATTCTACAAGCCATCAAAAAGAGCTATTAGCGGAAGTGACTTCTATTGATAGTAACCTATAGAGTCGGGGGTAAAGCGTCATCTCGCTTCAGGCTTATTCAGCTCAAGGTCCCTTGGAAAAGACCGCTTTAATGGATGGCAAACAAACTTTAAATTGCTTCGTATCTTGAAATCGAAAGTATCTCAAAAGGGAAAAAAGTATTTTTGAAAAGGTTTAGGATACGACAATAGTAATCCAGCAAAATATCTTTAAATAAAGGAAGTCCAATTTTTTGGCCATCCAGTAACAATCACGTGTCAATCAATCTATTGTAAAAGGCCTATTCCATTTCTTTTTGCTGCCATTAAAATTATGAGTCACGCATTCTTGCGTGACAAGTTGCACGAGAAAATACGTGCAGGAACAGAAAATCATCCCAATATTTTCTCCTCTTGGCTTWCTTATTTCCCAGCCTCCCCTCCCTTGCGGTGTTGCGTTACTCCCCAGTTACCTTATTTTAAGTTAATTTCGCGATTTCAGTTTTCGCATAGAGCAGTTTTCGTATGACTGTGAAAAAGACGGTGTATGCGTGCCTTGCCGTGACCGTGATGTTTTCTAGAATTTTGATTGGCGGTTTTTGTTTCTCGCGCAATACGATTGGTTTGGCAGTGCCGTGACCGTGTCGGCGCCGTGTTCATCCGTTTTCTGGGCATTTGATTGGATGGAGGGTAAATTCTCGTGCAATGTGATTGGTCTGGCGAATGCGTTGCCATGTCACGACCGTGTTCGTGCAGTGAGATTTTCACAGTCATACGAAAACTGCCTTATTTTTGCGTCACTTAAATTTAAACTTAAAAATCATATTCTATAAAAGTCACTTAAATTTCGTGATTCCATTGAATAAATTATTCAACTACCCTTCCATTAGAACGACACTTAACTATACAACCATAAAAGATATATATTCAATATTGGTACAAAATATTCAGTTACTGATAGTACCTGGATTCCATTAACATCTTATCTCTGCTTTTTATTGGTCATCAATAGACCTTATTCGCGGTGTGACAATGTTTTCCCAATTCAGCGTGACGAACCTCCAGGGGATTCATTTTCTTTTGTTTTTACTCACCGAAAAATTCATGAGTATCCCAAAGGATACGAAAGGAATAACGATGATATCCCGACGAGTTTCAAAACAATAGCTCTTCATTCTCCCAGAGGTTTGTCACGCTGAATTGGGAAAACATTGTCACACAACGAATAAGGTCTATTCTTTATATTGAGTCGCGTCACTTTGTGTTCTCGACGCTCATTTTTTGCGAACTTTAAAGTTTCTATCACCCTTCTGACAATATTCACAGTATTAATTCTACATGGGGTAAGATGTTGAATAACCCGAAAAAATATATAGTTTAAGTGCAACTTCTTGAAGTCTTAAAGCTTTTTCCATGCCATATACTAATGCTGTGACGTATGAGGAGTAATCATTTAATATACAAAACATTACTGGAACAGATAARTTAAATTTGAAATACGTCATTGTTTTCCCCATTGCTATTATAGAAATGATTGCAAGTTAGTTTTCCCATAGAAGCCGGTGTTTTGAATTACGAGGAACAACAAATAACCATAAATGCCTCCTCTTACGCCATAGCATTAGCAATAGCATAGAAAAACCTTCTTTTATAACATCAAGAAGCCGCAATCAAACTATGTAATTTTTTCGGGTTATTGGACATCTTACCCCATGTAGAATCAATACTGATAATATTGTCAGAAGGGTGATAGGCACTTTAATTTCGCCAAAATTGTAAAAAATAATGCAAAGTTTTGTAGGTCTACTATCTACTTACTAATTTTTGCAGTTTCTTACGAAGTTTTTCAAAGGTATATAGTATGTTTTCTACTAGTCAGAGCTAAATTTAACAAGTTAACAACCATGGTTCAATACGTATTCCAAGAATTTTCTAGAATGGGAACGTGACCCAACTTGTTATAAAGAATTTTAGGATCTTCGATAACCGTAGCATATAAGTCACTTCTATTTTGGACATGTTTACAAAGTTTTGACAGTGAAACAATTCGTGACGTCTTGAGCGTCTCCGGAACTCAACAATGCGCGGAACGTATACTTGCAAGAATATCTATGACTAATGCGAACAGGTTTTTCTTTTCCCCTAGGCATTAAAAATGAGTAATACGAGTGTAAAATGACTGAAAAAAATCCAGAAAGAAAGAAAGAAAAAGCGCTGGTTGTCAGCTATTGTTAAGGTTATTAGAATTTTTAATATTCTTAAAATCATTTTTCTATTTCTATTTTTCTATTTCTCCCTAAAAAATCCTGGAATTATTTTCTATATTAGAGTGCATACCATATGTATATATCCATGAGAAAGTTAACTAACAAAATCGTACAAATTAGTGCAACGTTTTGTAGGTCTACGGTCTACTGAGGTCTACTGAATTTACTAATTTATGCACATTTGTGCAATTTCTAGCAATGTTTTTTCACRAATATATGGTATGCACTCTCTTTCCCTGATCATTAAAACTGCAAAAATAGCTGGGCTTGCATGCGTTGTGGATGCCACAAGTAAAACACCTAGTTGCGTGTTCATTCGCGTCTCAAATTCAAACTTAGAGTAGGCATTAATTTAACGGAATGGTTCCGGGGTTTGGAAAACTTGGGATCCTATGTGGTTTGACCCGTGACTTAATGTTAATTTCTTTAATAGACATCAATTAATAAGCATACATGATGTTTTATGTTCGTTTTTGTTCAAGACTGAATGCAGTGTTGTTAATGTACTTGTTGTATTCAAACTTTTCTTTCTTGTTCTCTACCGTTCTCTCTCTCTTTCTTTTGTCCTTTTTCCTTACCTTCCTTTTATTGTTTAACGTTGCCTGTACGAAATCCTGTTTCACCTTGACATCTTAGCCAGCAATTCTATGCAAAATGATTGCTTTAAAATCGATTCAAAAGGAATAAACATGTCTTAATGGACCTTCCCCTGCGCTTGATAAAGTATCACCTCTGGGCTGATATACTTAGTCAGGGCGACTGAGGGCGATGGAACCCTGAAACAACCTCTGGGCTGATCTAAGTCAGGGCATGGCTAACTCACAGATCAAACCCTGAAACTACCTCTGGGCTGATCTAAGTCAAGGCATAGCTAACTCACAGATCAAACCCTGAAACAACCACTGGGCTGATCTAAGTCAAGGCATGGCTAACTCACAGATCAAACCCTGAAACAATCTCTGGAC